TAAAAATGTTTGAAACATAAAGCACAAATAAATGATTAAATGCAAAGGGAAGCATTTAAAATAATATGTCCCCTTTAAGACATCTCAATGGACATTTCAATTTGATGCACTATAAAAATGTTTTTATTAAAACCTAATAAGTTATTTTTTTAAATATATATGAGAAAACGTTTCCATTAATGCAAATGTGATGCATTAAATTGCATGAAAAGCCTCTTGCTCACTGCATTATCCAACAGAAGGGGCTATGTCACAATTTCGAAAGCAGCAATTTATTGGAGACATGTATCATGGTGAAAAACAGATTAAGTGCTGCTTTGGCAGATATATAATCAAATGTGCAAAAATAATCAGTGTTTGCAATCCCATGCATAGAATAAAAGAATGGATATGCTTTTACTTTTCTATTTGTCAAAGAAACAGGATTTTAAGCAAATTAGTCAGAAGCTCAAAGGAAAACAAATCCTCTCTGCAATAAAGGAAATTGGCATCATAGATTTATTAAACTAATTTTAAGAATAAATCATCAATTTATTATTACAATAATGATGATTATGCATAATGGTGAGTTGATTTAATCATTTTGCTTATAATTAATCATATTATATTTTAAGTCTCCTAATGGATTGAAATACTGGTGCATTTGAAAGGACATTAAAAAATAATTTTAGAACATAATTTACATATCAAATCTTGGACAAGCAAGCTTCAATTCTTGCAAGAATCTTTGTGAAAATAAATTTATTTGCGGTTCTGTATTAATGTATGTTCTTTTAAATATAAAAAAAATATAGTACTTATTAACTTTAGGCTCACCATTACCTCTTAGAATTTTTTGGTGCATCAAATAAGAATTTAGCCTATAACAGAAAGGCTAAAACCATCTAATTTTGTCTCGATTTTCTACATTAAAATCTTGCTGAAAAAGAGATTGGCGAGAAATGATCTAAAACTGTAGCACAAACATAAGTATTTACCTGAGGCTTCATCACAAATCTGACTGATATCTCTCAGGCCTCTAACTGTTTTATTTCTACATATGTCAGCTCATATCCATATCTTCTGTTTTCTTATCCACATTGTAGATTTGATCTGCCTCTGATGGAAGAGGAAATGAAAGAATCTGAATAATGACACCGAAATAATGTTTCACACTTTCCCTGCAGCAACATGTTGTTTACTTCAGTCATAGATTTTATGAAACATTAATTTGATACTTTTTTTTCTCCTTCTCTTACCTCAAGCAGACAGGCAGTCACAGTAGAATTATTATCAAAAGCTGAGCTAGTCTTCAATATTTTGCCAACAGATAAATGTTAATTATAGTTTTAAAGAGTAGAGGATAGAAAATTTGTTTTGTAGTGAATTAGGTGATGTTTAATCAATATTTTACCTTTAAATTCAGTCGTATGTTGATGGAGATTTAAACAAATCATTCATGCAGATTTATTGACTTAATTCCCCATCATATCATTTTTTAGCCAAACCAGGTGTTATTGCACACCAACACCACTTTGTTTAGCAAGAGCTTTAAAACAGGTGCTGAGATTTCTCTAATCCACACTATTCTCCTTCCACCTGCTGTGATAATTAATGAGGTGCTTTGGTACACAGTGAAGAGTTAGACCTACTAGCAGATGTAATAGGGTCATTGGGATGAGGCTAATGTTTATGCTTCATATTGTGATATTTGGATTTTAAAATGGGGTTCAGAGCATAAGGTAAATACAGATAAAAGGAGATTGATATTTGCAAGTTTTTAGCAAAGGTTGTGAATACAGAAAAGCAAAGCTGCAATTTACTCTGACACTTTATACTTGTTAGATCACACTTTTTGTTGGGAGTTTAACCATCTAAGCTGCAATTTTTCAGTGTGAACTTTTCATTATTGAATCTTTTTTTAATGTTTTTAACTTCTTAAGGGAGGTCGTACATTTTTGTTGCTATAAACATGCATGACTCTGTTGTGTCTAAAGTCCATAACTTTAATATGGTTGATGTTGGGGACCAAATTATCATGTCTATATCATTATTTGCCTGCTTTACTTATTCCAAACTCATAATTGAAATTGTTATTTTGTTGAAAAACAAATTTATTTCACCATTGGTTTTGGTGTAAGGTTACAATATTTAAAGGTAGTTAGTTTTATTTTTACTTTACATAATACAAGAGTGCATTCCGTAGCAGAACAGTACCTAAATTTGCTTTGTGCTGTGGGGGACAGTTCAGGTCAGAAGATGATACCTTGAAAAGATTTTTCTGTCATTGTTGGGTGGAGGTTAGTCGAGGACCTAAATGCAGAGATGAGGGGTGTGTTCTTGCAGGTTTAATTAAATCAAAAAGGGCAATGAATGAAAAGCAAGGGAAACCACACAAGAGGAGCCAAGTAATGATGAGAAACCAGCAATGAGGAATTGAAAAGGAGCTGTATATATGGAGGACAGAACAAAGAATGGGCTAATGAGCTGATATGGAACAGGTGTGGATAGAAGTAACTAGAAGGGAGCCAAGGGGGAAGCAGACAGACACAAGAGAGCAACAGAGATTAACTCAAAAAATGCGATACAGCTTAAATATAACACTAAATGGAAAAGAAACCAAAGATCAACAAAACATTGTGACAGAGATAAATGAAAACTGAAAAGTCCAAAAAGGGAAGAACCATAACAATTTCAACATTGATGTTCTATCAAAATCCAAATAATCCTAGAGACATTAACAAGCAAGCTATTCTAATGTTTTTTTTATAAATTCTTACCAAAGCCTTTGATATCTGCTCTCTTTGATTTATGGACGATACTTTTGTCAGTGTTAAGAAAATCAACATATTTAAATGAACCATACTATTTCTGAATAGACATGTAAATAAAGTTCCATCTTTAACTATGCCAGGGGCTTTTCCAAAAAACTACAGAAAATTTGCTGATCCTCTGCATCTTTCTATGTCCCAATACAAGTTGTGGTTTAAAGATTTATTTAAGACTGCATGTATAATTTTGACTCTGTTTTTAGAGAAAATTCATAATACATTTAAAATTGACAGCCTTTTTTATTACAAATTTCAAAACATGCAGAAGTTGTCGTATTTTAGTAATTTCTCCACCTCTTTCATTATTATAAATATTTTTGTATAGGTATTATTATTATTGTTATTATTAATATTTTTATTAATCACCATTGCTAACAACTAACAGTGCTGTTGAATCAAGGGTAACTTTGTAATTGCTTGTGTTCCTGCCTCAAGATGGCTGGTATTTGTAAAATTAGCCATAAACTCCACAAACCTACTAGTAGATTTGAACAACTGCGGAGTGTTTTGTAACTCAAAATAGTTTTTAACGTCATCAGAGCATATAACATACATCAGTGCAGACAGAGAAGGTCAATATTTCCCGTTAATTTAAATTTTCTCAAATGAAAGTAGAAATAATTTAGAGGTCATGTAAAAGTAATATATCCATTCAGAAATGAAGTTTAAGTTTTAAAACTAAAGTAAAATCCTTCATTAATACAAATTATATTTTCACTTCAAAGGTAAATGTCTTTTCATAGAGAAGGACACACATTTTGATGCTCCAATGCTATCCAGGTACTGTATCTATTGCAAATGTTGGCTTGAGGCATCACAGCTTGAAAGAGAACATTAGAGCTATGCTTGAAAAATTAGCATACCAAAAACCTGAATACAATGCTGTGAAATTCATAGCTTATGATAAAGATTCTTTGAGCTTCATGAATTTGAATTTATATGACCACATGTCCCCCAGAAGAGCTGTGGAAGGAGCGGTCTTTTCATTCAACAACATTGAAAAAGGCACATTGTTTCTAAAATAGCATTACCACAGGCAAAGACTATACAACCTTGTTTCAATGCCAATATCTTCTAGCTATGTACTGGAATGGGTTATGAATTTTTTGTCAGGGGATTACGCAGTCAGAGATTTTAATAAGCTCATAAACTGCTGCTTTAAATTATCTGATATCATACAGAGCCCTAGTGCATTGAATTGATGAGACTATATCTAAATGTATTTATATATTTCTTACTGTCTCACTTTATAACAACTATGGAATAATATTGATGTCAAATATTGCTGTTTTAGTTATTTTAGTGTGTATGAGTTTGGATTTTCATTTTTAATTAAATGTACATCTAAACCTTTATGGTAAGCATATGGTGCAAAAAATACTTTCTGTATCAATCATTTTCAATTAATTTGTGATTGAAAATTTATCAGAATAAACTTCTGGTTTTGTGAAGGTCTCCTAATTAAGGAGCGGCTTTTGTTTTAATGCTCAAACTTTCAGCTTTATGTTGCTGATTAGGTCTCACACTTCAGATTATTCTTCTGTACCTCTAGTTTATTAGTTTTTCATCTGACTGATGGAACCAATTCCCAGTTATGCAGTAGAGCTGTAAAGGCAGTAAAAATCATCCTCTAGATCTGGGCCTTGATTTTGTCTCCTCTTGCGGACCAAAGGAACAATTATCATGGCTTTGTTTATGCAGCCATCCACTGTTAACCGTGAGAGCTTTTCGTGTGCAGGTGTGTGCTCTGTTAATTATGTCCAGTGGATTCAATTAGTCAAAACAGATTACTGACAACTTTTGGAAACCTGTTATGGATGTCAGAACAAAATAGGATGCATCAGTGCTTATCTGTTGGGTCTGAAAAAATTCTCAATGCTTAGGGCGTATTTGGAAGCTACAAAAGAAGAGTGCTTGACAACCTATTCACCCTGAAGCTGAACATATCTGGGTTTGATAGAGTTATAAACAATATTTTTCAGAAATATTTGAGAAATGTCTGAGCCCTGTATAGTTTGTTTTATTATTATTATTAATGCCTTAATACTTTGCATATCAAATTATTTTTAAACAAATATTTGAGATGTGAAATTCTGTTAAAGAAACTATGTAATTCTATTAAAAAGATGTCCTACATTGTTTCTTTTCCCTCCCACCCCCTTTATACCCCCGTTTCAATACCTTCATCAGGTGTACTTTAAGCGTGATGGGGAGCTGATAGAGGTAATTTCTTATACTGAGCCATACTCCAGCGAGCGAGCAGCCGGCGCTGCAGGATGGAGAGGAGCCAGGCCACTCATCAGCAGGGACCTTGATGAGACCAAACTACAGCGTTCCCTCTCCCTTCTTGATCCGGAAGGCCGGTCAGCTCGTCTGTACACAGAGAGCCCTCAGCGAGTCCATACTCAGGGCCAGCAGGCCAGTGAGCCGAGCCCTGCAACAGAGGTCATTCCAGAGACAGTGGTGAGCCGGGAGTTCCCCCGCTGGGTACACAGCACGGACCCTCTGTACTACTTCAGCCACACTCAGATCCCTCAGAGCGACGGCTCTGTTGTGGTACAGGCTCGACTCACCTGGACCCTCAACCCACAGCTGGACAATGATGCCCTATTCAGCTGTGAAGTTAAGCACCCAGCATTGTCCATGCCCATGCAGACAGAGGTCACTCTGGGTGAGTCAAGTGTTTATCTGCTTTGCATGCTGGTTTTGTTTTTCTATCTCACTTTCCCTGTCTCTGCTTTAAAACCCCGAAACCATTTTCTCCTTTCTCGATTCCTGATTTCGTGCTGTCTTTATGTCAGTGTTTGAGGCAGACTGGACCTCCTTGTGTTGCCTCGCAAATGTGCACAGAACAACACTGATTTTCATTTGATGCTGGTTAATTGTGTTCCAGCTGAGCAGATTACGAGTTTAGCGGCAAATGCACAACTCCAAGTGAGTGACAGGGCAATTCATTGAGGTGTCTGTTACTAGATTGAGTTAACCTAGCACCGTTATTGAAAAAGTCAGCCTGAATTAGAGAAGCAGAATGAGAATTTAGACACTCTGACCAGTGTTATATAATTGGAAAGAGCGTTTCAGAGTTGCTGCATTTCATCAAACTTCATCAGGCTACAGGACGAGTAGCTTCGTATGTCGGCATGCCAATAAATGTAATGGTTTTAGTTAAGTTTAGGGAGAAAAAGGTGTGCACTAAGATTACAAACTAGTAAAAGCAAGGAAATCCAGACTGTGTACGTTCAGGACAGGAATATTTCTATGAAAGAACTTCAAATAAAGTTTTACGCCTGTGTGCGAGTCTGTTGTTGTTAGATAGACAGACGACATAGAGATCCATGGGCGATGCACACTCTGTTTTATTTTATCGAAGATGGCTTTCAGCACATCCAATTAAGACTTCAAAGCCTATGTTTTGGCATAGTCCTTCTGGGAACGAGCCATGCATTTCTTGCACTATATGCCGAGACATTATCCCTTGCAAGATGGAAAGAATGAGCAAAGGAAAAGAGTCTCTTGCTGCTCTATGTCTATGCCTGATGTGTTTCACATGGTATTTTATCTCCTCACCAGCTTCCATTTAATTAAAATATACGTCATTCACTCTAATGAGGAAACATGGTCACTTTGCTTAGATCTATGAAAATCACTTATTGCCTGTAAAGTTCTCGATAACTTATGAAATAATGGAGGTTACAAAAGTCGTTGTTTTTGTGTCCACCACAATCTATGGAAATCTGTGAAAAAGTTTCAAAGTATTTTTCTACTGCTTTACGTTGTAAAGAAAGTATTCAATAAAATAAACTGGAACCAGTGCCTAATAGCCTCCAGCTGCTAAATAGCAGCTGTTAAGGTGTGGCAATTTGTTTTTTCCGAGACTTACTCTGGCAATGGGACTTAAAAAAAGAGATAAATCCCTTCATCATTTCACTGCTAGGCCAGATAAAACATCACTTTGCCAGGAAAGCTAATGGAAGAATCATGGCCGTGACCATCATATTTAATGCATATAAAAGTTCACAACTGATTGATGCTTTTCAATCCTGGTCCTCAAGGTACATAAAACCCTGGTTTAAGTAACACAACCTACCTAGTATTGTTGTAATATTGTTGCTGACTAGTTAGTAACTCGGTTATAACAGCATTACCATCTCTTGTTGAATTCAGCAGTATATTTCAATATATCATAAACTCAGACCATCTGAAATGGGTTGCTTAAGTGTAATATTTCCTTTATTGTATTCAAGTGGACTCTACACGCAGATCTTCCTTTTATAGAACACACTTGTGATATGATAGAATTATGAGATTAGAATTATGGATTTTCAGCTGACAAAAATCTGTAGCAAATGCGTTATGGAACAAAAGCTCAGATAATTATTTTCTGAAACCTCTCTGAACCTATGTCATGAAGGATTACATCCGTAATAAAGGCTAAATGGGAACCCTTTCACAGCTATAAAGGTGTCATTAATGAGGTTCTTGGGAAGTCTATATTATCCTATTAAAAAATCTTTATGCTGTTAGATGTGGATGAAATCTAAACATTGTAGCTGCTACATGTTTAAAATCATAACTAATAATCATTTTTGAAGTGTTTTAGGTTTTGTTGAATTTCAAAATATTTATAAATTCATGAGCTCAGCATTCTTTGTGAAAATCATTGTTGTATATAAATAACTGAGAGTGATATTTGCATTGTATCTTTATAAAGATTATTCATAGAGAGAAATATGTTCTGATATTTTTCTCAATGCATGCAAAGACACAGAAATACAGATTACAGTTAAAATGCAGCTTTATCATATAGAGAATGGGCACCTAAAAAATGCAAAAGTGACATTTGAAAACTGAAAAGAAATGTATGTAGGTAAATTTCACTCAGCCGAAGCGTCTTCATTTATCTGATTCTTAAGTGTAAACTAATTCTAACACAAAAATAAACCCTGTACAAGTGTAAGAAGCTCACTGTTGCTGTTCCTGTCTTCTTTATTAGCATTATGGGATATTTCTTGACTTAAAAGTCCCCAAAACAGTGACAGAATAGGTAATAAATAAATTAATAAATATCTCTAGTGACAGAATAGCCATGTAGGCAACATATAATTAGAGAGGGAACTGAAAGGTTTAACAAAGTGGAAAATAAACTGGAAAAAATGTTCAAAAGTAAAATAAAAATGTCAAAGATTTACCACAATATGCTTGTGATAAGAATGGTTTAGGTTGTTCAAGTTTCAGCCATGAGAATATCATGTCTATTTTTACTCTGCTTTGCATTCTTTCTAAAGCCTTTAATTTTGTTCTTTTGTTTTTTTTTTTTTTTTGTATTTTTGCCAATTAGATCATAAATTGGTTTCTGTTGTTGAGCCAATGAGGTAAACCTACCAGGCTTGCATAGGAAGAAATTAACATTCTTTTCCTTCTAATTCTACATATGTGCACAAGATAAATAACTTTTTGGTTCACATTTCTAACATATTTAAAGTCTATTTATATACCATTTCATGACTGAAAATGTTCATGCTTAAACATTTGAAAATGAAGAAATAAAATCTTTTTGAAGAAATCTTCAAAAAGCAAAAATAAATAACAAAGACTTCATAAGTATACATCAAAAAGGCTTGTAGTAAATATCAACACCAAGTCTGCCAATACTTGTAGCTGCAGTTATATTAATAAAACAATTCTTTGTGTCCATATTTTACACTCACTGTCAGGGAGGGTGGAATCTGCCTTAAACAGTTGCTTATTAAGCAAATAATGCAAAAGAAATAAAATAAAACCACACAAAATAATATGTCCACATTCACGTTTTAAGGATCATTCATCATGACTTGTAATTAAAAAAAATTACAAGTATGTGACTTGGACTTGATTATGTAGACTTAATTTTGACTTGGGGAGTAAAACTTGATCCAGCCTCTGTCACAAAAAACAAAAAGATATGCAGGGCCACCTGCAGTATAGGTAGCATAAAAAATGTTGACAGAAAAGAAGGGGGCACACATAAAAGAGCAGAACGAGGCAAGGATTTTTTTTCCTTGAATCTGTTGCACAGTACCTGTATAATATATAAAAGATAAAGCCCATAAATAAAACAGATTTTTTGTTATAGACTGACAGAGGGTGTCCAACTAACATAAACATGCTAAGTTATTACACTACTCTACTCTACTCTATACATACTCTTTGCGCTCATTTTGTTTTACTTATTTCAAATAATACAAAAAGTGTAATATTTGAAGAGGGCATATGTGCAATTAAATCTGTCAACTAAAACTGAAATATGGATTATTACCTATTTCTGTCTCTTTTTTAAAATGATGTTAACAAAAGAAAGAGTAGTCTGAAATTACTATCAAATGCCAACGGTGCTATATTTTTTTAAAACTTCTCTTCTTAAACAGGTAATTAATGTAATTTTACATTTGGCCTTTTGAAGGACCTAAAATGAAATCATTTTTGCATTTTCTTTTAAATCCTAACACCTAGAGAAAACTAAATACAAAAGGTTCATTTGTTATTCTAACCAATGCTTGCTTAAAATGCAAAACATTTACTAACCAGCTTTGTCTTGATCCATCTCAGAAGTAAGTTGCTTGTATTTCTTTTATTCAAGACAGTAAGCTTTTTAATCAAGATAACTGGTATATTGATTTATTTAAAAAAGACATGAAAAAAGGAGAATTGTTTTTCACCATTTTGTTACTATCATTCTTACCATTTCCCATTCCTTTATATTGGTCAAAAAAATATTTGTGCTCAAACACATATCCTCTTGTTTCTATCAGGATATGTTTGTGTTTTCATGAAAAGACTGTGTGTCTTTGCATCGCTTAGAAGTAATAACTCTTTCAGAGATTTAATATTGCCAAAGGGGAGCAAGTGACAGCCTGACACTTTGACCAGTGTTCTGTCATGTTACATGCATATTCATGAGTTAGTCTGTGCTCCCCATGCAAATGTTACTAGAGCAGGTGGTTGGTGTTGGTAATCTGTTTAAAAAAATGCCCATGTTTGTTTGATCTCTTCATTATTATGTTCATGAATATACAAACGTCCATGAACAGAGCCTCTAAATAAAAATATGTAATTTGTTTTGGCTTAAGGTTAGTGAAGATGTTTATCATTCAACATCAACAAATATCTGAATTAATTCAGTTTTCATACCCAGAGTGGTGATAGAAAGAGATCGCCACCTTTACACCTCAGTCTAAGCTTTGCCAGAAAGTCAAACAGCAGATGTTCAGTTTGTGTGGGTTGATGTGTGGAAGAGAGTACGCATATTAACAGAGTTTAAATTTATCCAAGTATAACTTTGAACAATAAAAATTAAACTGTTACATGTTCGACTACAGATTATCTTCGCATACATTAGTCTTGCATTGTATTGGATATCTATTAATAGCATTTGTTCATACTGGCACTAAAATAACCTAGGGCTTTTCATGACACGGTCTGGTCTTTTAAATGTGTTCATCTGCCTCCCTGACTTCTCCATTTAAACAGATCCAGTCACCCAACTAACACGACAGGTTTCCCTGTCTGTTGTACAGCTGGGCCGACCTGTTGATGTTCTGCCTTGGCACCGCAGCACACCTGATACAGGATGCACAGTTGTTTTTCTAGGAGGCATGTTGGTTCTTCGACCTCTCCCGAAGTCACAACAGTTCTATTTTGCAAGGGGAAGAAATTGAGCCTTAGGAGATGGTGTCATTGGAGCATGGCGCATTTCCCCTGTGATGTCCTCACCCGAGAGAGGCTATGTCCATCATACTCATGCTGCCGTAATCAAAGGCAGTGACGTAGGACACCAACTGTCACTGTTGGAGCAAATCCCAGAAATTGGCCATCATCTACCGGCCATATGCCTTGTAAGCTCCATGACTGCATGGCACCAATATTTAAAAATACCTTTCTACTATTGTGTGGGAGGTGAAAAGATGGTGTCTCCCACATCCACAGCAATTTCAGCAAGTGAAATCCTTTTTAACATTTAAAGGGGAAAAAATACAAAGCTACAAAATGCTGTGGTCGGATAGTTACGTTTTTGTGTTGTTTTAATCTTTACTAATTGAGAGTGAAGTGTTTTTGTCAGGTATATTCTTACTCTACAAACACTGTTTTTTATTTATGTTTATGTAGATGTGTTCATGTAGTATTTGAGCTTATGTATTTCTGGTCAAATATGCAGCCATAGTTTTGTCAGGATCTTGTTGCTAGTGAGAAAAAGACATTTAGGATTTATTTTTACCATTAGTAAAGGGGTATTTATCCAAATTTAAGTACAGTAGAGTCTATGCATATAGTATTTGAGCCTGTATATAGAAATATGTACCTTTGTAAATGTAAGAAAATCACCTTGAATCCCAATTTGTCTAAATAATAAACCTTTTTTTTTTTTTTGCTAACTTTATAATAATATGCTGAATCAATGTTCCACCTAAAAAAACTACACCATTAATCATTCATTTGAATGTCAGGTAGTGAATCCAACTACACAATTTGTCTCCTAATGTTTGCACCCATGCAAAAAAAAGTTATTGGTGTACTAGCATAGCTAAGTAGGAAACACTATAACATTATCTTAACTGCAGAACTCCAGTAGGGGACTTCCAGGTGTTTCAAGCTGAATTGATTCTTATTGCATGTGTCTCTTGGACCACTGATTCAACATTTGTAACATAATGCATAAGAAGAACTTATCTTTAGGGGAATGTTAATCCTCATAAATAGTGTGCAACATAACCTGCATGATACAATGTTGTTTAGCATTTTAAATGAAATACTATTTAATAACTAATGCAAATTATACATTTATTCTCAAAATTCAATGCATAAGCAATGTACCCCTTCCCTAATTATTATTATTATGCTAGAACCTCTTTGTTCCTTTTTTTGCATGGCTCTATTGTTTTAGATGGTGGCAACGAAAGCCATCCATGTTCTGCCGTCCACACCCAGACAAGGGAATTAACTCTCTGAGTGCCCCTTATCTCGCTTCCTCCATACTCCACCCGTTGCACTCCCATTCTTCTCCAGTAATGAGTATCTATCCAATTTAGTTCCCTTTCTCTCCAAAGGGGAATAAATCCAGCATAGTCCTTTGGATGAAAGAAACTGCAGGTCCCTGGCCTCTCGCTCCGTGACCTTAATTGACAGGAAATTGTATTTGTCTCTCTCCCTCTGCCACAAAACAGGTGTCCAGCGGGTTCTGTTCTCCATACTCAGTAGAATGACCTTGTCTTGTTTGTGTCTCCTTTTAATGTCCCTTTCAGCTGCTCCTAAAGGTCCCAAACTCTTCATGACCCCCACTAGGGCAAAGGTCGGGGACACTGTACGGATCTCTGTGCAAGGGTTCCAGGTAGGATTTACTTTGGTTTTTCAATATCAGATACAGATGGTATAGTAATACTTTAGACATTCACAGTACATCTGTTAGGAATTTATATTTTGGAGTCAAACTAAGAGAATTTTTTTTTTTTATGCTTACAGGTACATGTATATTTGCTCATAGAATAGTCACTTTGACAAAATGTGGTTTCAAATCACCCATTTTATAATGGTATATTCTTGGTCATAAAGACAAACTTTGTATTAGTATGAAATAGTTGTCTTTTCTCTGAATCCAAACCGACGTGCATTAACTCTTTCTAAGGCCTACAGACAGTAAGATCTTATTTTTTGTGTAAATGGTGTCACTCAATATTTTTAACGATTTAATACAGAAATGTGTCAATTTACAGATAGCACAGAACTTTACATAACTAGGTCCCACATTTGTTGTTTTTTTTTAAAGACAGTAAAATTAAGATTGTAAAGCTTTTTTTGATATAGACACTTATGATTTTAAATAAATCCTCATTTATATAGATAAGAAAGAAAGAGCTCAAAGGGGGTGACTTGCACCTGTTTAATGTGTTTTAATGATGATCAGTAAAACACCAATGCAGGTATCCATTAAATGTTTGGACCATCACAAGAGCCCATATAGATAACGATTGACTTTGTTCCACCAGCAGACCTTGCTAAATAGAGATATGTTCCGTGTGTATCTGGCTTGGGGCCTAGTGATGGTCTGTTTGACAGTAATGGTACACAAAAAGCAGGTAACCAAAGCCAGTCAGGTGAAGAAAATAGAGCTAATCCTTGAATAGAACGCACAAATGACCCAAGCATAAATCTCCCTTGAGACTTTCCAGACACTGCTCAGCAATCACTAGTCAGATGTCATGTTTGATTTATATGCTCCTTTTATGAGAAGAAATTAATATTCCATACTTTTGTTGGTTTAGAGCACTGATCTGTGGGCAGCACAGGTTTATACATCTGTTTGTGCTTGCTCAGTGACCTTGGGATCCTTTTAAAGCATGTCTTTGAGCAGAGTTAAGATTGGTTGCAACAAAGGCTCGGCCGTGAAACGAATCCAGTCAGAACCTTCAGCATCCTGAGCACTGATGTATGCAGACTGATCAAAAAGAAATGTTCCCTTGTCCTTCACCAGACTTGGGTTTTAGAATTTCACAAGTAGATAAAGCTTCATGCCAAGACTAATAACTTTGGACTCAGCCTTTAAGAAAGAACAAAAGTCTTCTCACCACCTTGTTCAGTGTTGTGCAGCTGGGACCAGCTGCACAACACTGAAAAAAAAATACTTAGTCATATTTCATTACTTTAACACAATGTTTTTGTTTCCTACCCTGCTAACTTGAAAAAATGTGTTAAAGTAACTAAGTATGATTGACTTGATACCAAAAACAATTGCATTATATTTTTTAGAGTTCTTTTTAATGTTTTTTTTTTGTTTTTTGTTTTTTTTACAAATCTGTTAAATCATTTCAATAATGTTTTTATCCTTGATCTAGACCAGCAGGTTGTTATAATGATGGTATAACCTCAACATTTAAAAGAAGAAGAATACGAGCTTAGCTATGTGGATTCTCTGGGTTTCCTTTCCAGACCTTTTTATAAAGATGGATGGATTGATGTATGAATTATCTTAAGCATTCATCTATGAATCTTGCAATTCATAGATTAATTGCAAGTTTATTTAAATGTTACATATATTTTTTTTATTTGTAAGAATTAGAAATTTGCAAACTAACAAACAATAAACACACCATCACGGATTTCTTGCAGTTCCTCTTTAAATGTATGCTGATGATTTTATCAAATTAAAAAAGTTGGTCCTAAATTGACCTATTTTGGATCAGAACATATCCAAAGTAAGGGTCCAGAAATAAGTAAAAAATGATGTCCTAAACTAGCTTTTCAATAAGTTCAAGCACATGGAGGGGATCTGCAGAAAAGCTTTTGTAAATTTAAGTGTTGATTATTAATGCATGTTGTTAACTTGCCATTGGATTAGGGGAAATTAGAGTCTGTATAATTAATGTATACTTTGATTAAAATCTTGTGGAGGAGATTCACATTCTCCCTCTGAGCTGTCTTTAACCTCCCTCGTCTGCTTTCTTTCTTTTTTTTTTATCTGTTTTGTTGTGATCCTCCAATGTTGTTGATAGAATGAAGTATTTCCTGAGCCGCTCTACACCTGGACACGGGTGGGAGGCCACTTACTAGATGGCAGTGCTGAACGTCAGGGGAGGGAGCTGATTCTAGAGAGAGTGCCAGCAGAACTCAATGGTTCAATGTATCGCTGCACTGCCCAGAATCCTTTGGGCTCCACGGATACGCACACTCGTCTCATAGTGTTTGGTAAGTATGCTTATGTCTGCAACATAATTAAGCCTTGGTCTAAATTATTTGTTACCCCAACACTCAAATTGACATAACTTGAATAAATATTAATTTTTTTAAAGATAAGAAATAACAATTTTGATTTTTCTTTTTCTTTTTGAAACCACAGCTGCATCCACAAGATTTATCAAGAAGTTTAGCTTTTGACAATTTTATTTCATTTATCTACAGTGACTTTGATGAATATTTAAATCATTTGAGATTGATATAACTACATCAAAATGAATCATTTATGCAACTGTGTGATTAATAAGAGATTGTGTTTGCTATTTGGCTCAAAAATACAAACATGTTTAAGTGAGCACTTAGTGAGATTAAGTATTCTCCAAAGGATTGTCCAACTCTCACACAAATGACATTTTTAGATCTGCTCTTTTTTTTTGCAATGACAAAAAGTCGCTTGGGAATCAGTAGCTTGTGATGAAACTCAAAAAACCTTTCGTGGCAGATTGTGAAACAAAAACATTTTGTTCAACGCTAAGGCTGGGTATTTGTGTTTATGGCATTGAGGAGGTTTTAGCATACCTAATCTGTTCTTCTAAGGGAGTTATTGTTTACTACCCCTCATTCACACAGACTAAATCATCAGCGCTATTTTCTCTCTGTTGCAAATACAGGCCATTCCGATCGATGCGATAATTCCCAGTGGTTCCGTTGCGGTGTAGCATGACAGAGAGTCCTTTTCCGTCAGAAGTATAGATCGTGTCTATTTTTGATGGATGACAGAGCAGAACTTGTCAATATAAAAAAAAAAAAACAGATGAGCCATGCAGCACGTCAGACCTAGATAGGGTGAAGCAGATTTGGTTCCTTAGCAAATAAGAGTGCATGCTGTCTGAATCCACTCTTCAATGCTGAGTGTCGCATTTTTGCAGCTGATGTAGGAGTAGACACTGAATGTAGTCAGTATGAGGCTGGCCTTAGGTACACTTTGCTCAGGGGACTTTCAGAAAATGGGTTTGCATTTTTGAATTAAACATATTCTTTTAGTCTTGATGACACTCCAGTGTTATGTTGTCATATTAAATTATGATGCGCATTTCCTTAAAAGTCTCTCTGTCACAGCCTTCTTGAATTCAGTTGATTTCAATCACTCTAGCGTTGTCTAAAGGCAAGAGCTTGCAGTGTCACTTTTTTTTTCCTGCATATTTCTTGTTTGATAGCTATTATAGGCTCCATCTTCACTTTCCACTTTACCTAATATTTCAAAATCGATAACTGTACAATAATAGAATTTTTCCCTTGTCTCTTTTAGGTAACATTTAGCACATTATCCTACAGAATCAGAACCTCTAATGTATTTTCTGCGCCTTCTCCTTTAAGAAGTGCAGCTCAGTAACAGCCCTATCTTTTAAATAGAGCCATCTCGAATGGCCATACGGCAGTTATATCAAAGCTCATATGAATATGCCTTAATAAAGCATTTATTGTGTAGAAATTTCTTCTATCTTCTATCAGACTACAGTACACTACATGAATGTTATTTTTAACAAAAAATGTATTATACCCTGGGTGCAAAATTGGAACATGTATTTTATAGTTCTTCATTGTGGATAAGGATGATTAGCTACAAAAACTTTTTTTTTCTAAAGAAGCGAGCTTGAGGGAAAACAACATCCTCATGAGGATAATAAAGCACGTCTATTTAAGAGTTTGATAAATAAAGTTCAGTACTAATGCCAGGTCAGCTTTTCAAGAGGCACAACACATATGTATCCTTAACAGAGGCGACATTTGTTGCAACTTTGTGTAATGTGACCCCTAGACACTTTGGCAACTGTCTCACCTGGAAGTAAAATGAGGAGAAGGGTACAGGACTGATGCTCACTGGTCCGAACTCATATTTTCAGCTGAGAGTACATGCTGTATTTCATTTGGAAATCACCTCCCAGAGTTTAGAGGAAGAGTGGAGAGGCACAGCTCCTGAGTTACTGTGGGCTCCCTGGAAACATCTCAGTAGTGCCACAGGCTGAACGTCTCCATGCCACAGTGCTTTGATGTAATGTTTAATGCAGAGGGAGCCTAACCAGTGAGTACATTTCCTGTACAGTTCATAGACAGTCTTCTCAGTAAGCCATCATTTCTGCATAAAAAATATACATTTAAATTGGTTTTATTTCACAGTCCTTCCTTTTCCCATAATCATGTAAAATATCCAAATATACATCATCATTCCCTGTTTATCAGAACTATGTGATACAGTATATGAGTTTTGCCTTTTCAAATAAGCTAATGACATAAATTATTTTTCCAGTGGTATTCTAATGTACAGTATAGTTTGAAGTGTCTTGCAAATTCACAAACTGCAGAGCATCTCTAGTAAGCATACACTTTAAAAGTTAAAGAGCTACTTTAAGGAAGCCGTTTGCAAGGAAGGCCAATAAAGTCTATTTAACACCCTGATGCATCCTCCAGTGTCATTGGCTATGTGAACAGTATGGCCCATCTGTCTGTCTGCTCTTTGTAGATTGCTTCCACTAACGCTTAGAGGAAGTAAATGGTGATTAAGTGACCTTGGCACCATCCCCTGTGAGCTTAGAATGAGACATCCATACTACCCCCCACCCCCCCCAGAGTTTGGGGACTGTGCTCATTTTTGCTGGGTCTTAAGAAAATACACAATCTTAGAAAAGATGTATGTTTTTAAAAGCTTAGTTTTAAAGCTCCATACCTGCAAGCAGGATTTACACAATAATCTACATCTTTAACCAAGTCACTTGAGTGACAGTTATTCAGATTGACACAAGCTGTGCTCAGATGCAGAGACCCACACAGATGCTGTATGTACACTTAAGCAATTTTGCTGGATGTGGTAAGCACATGGATGTGAGTACATTAATTTTCACCAGGTTTCTCTAAAGAACCGTTGTGTTTATGAGGCTCCAATGAGACCAGAGTAGTTTCACGTTGTGCTTTACATGTACCTTTCATCTACTTACATGCAAAGTTTAAGATCTATAAATAGCTCACAGAGTGGAATTAGAGTGGTTACTAACACTCTGCTAAGCCTCCTGCTGCGCCTTTTGCAATTACTTTATCCCTGTGAGAACACTGAAAATACTTTGTCAGTGTTTTGTTCAGGTTAGACACATGCAGCCAATTAAATGTAAGGACCTCAAATCTCTTACCCATACCTGTTGGCCCTTGGCTGTTTTCCGCTTCCCTCTCTATTCCCTGAAAAGTATTGTGGTTGTTTTGCTGCAGAGCTTTGTGTTCCCAGGTCCATTTACCAGCTTTAGCCTTTTCTTATCAGCGATGTGCCGTTTAGCGTGTACCTGTACTGTATAACCTTCAAATTCAGTCCCATTAGAGAAAAAAAATCTCTGTCAAGTAATACGTGTTTCACTTTTTTTTTTCTTTATAATTCTGTTAACAATGATGATATTTCCATTCTTCATTATATTAAAATCCACATCACCTGTAAAGCAGCTGCAGTTTTTCATTGTTTCATTTCTTTTTTCAACAGAAAATCCAAGCATGATGAAAAACATGCAGAATCCAAACAGTAAGTAATTCAGCCGTCTCTTAAAAAAAAATGTGTTATGTAAGTATATGTTCTTTTTTTGAATAGGATAACAAAAATACAAATGGTTTGTGTAATATAAGGTGCTTGAGAGCATTTGAGACAGGATTTTGGTTTGACAGTGTTCACAATTGGGCAAAAGGCCCCTTCAGTAACTAACTATGCATGTCACTGTTGAAAAAGTGCAAGATTATTGGTGTTTCATATGTGCAGTGGAAGGGAGCGGGGGGGGCGCTCATTTCTGGTTTGCCAGATTATCATATATAAAGTGAGGGATTGTAAGGAGAAGCCATAGAGATGTGGAAACAGCTCTCCATCTATCTAATTTTACTGTCTCTTCCACTCAGTCTCCCACTGCAATCTGCCTGTCTTTTCTTTTCCACTCTAAAAAGTGCTCATTTTGGTTCTCCCATTGCTTTCTACAAAGGATTTTGCTGCTTCAACCATTTCTATTTGGCTGTGCCCTATTGTCACCATCTTACTTTTTTCCTATTTTGTATTCCCTTCCATCAGCATTTTTTGTTCAACTTCTCCCCCTAGCTCACATACTCTGATTTGATGCATATATTTAATTATTTTTTATGCACTCAGAACTTAAGTGTAGATCATGCTTTGGTGTAAAAAAAAAAAAAAAAAGAAAAGAGAAAAACAACATTCAGCTCTGAAAAAGAAACCAGAATTTTCAGTCTTAACAGATGGGCCTCTGAAACATGAAGTGGTTCAGAACTCACTAAAAAGGAAATTAGAGTGCGACCCTATAGAGATAGCAATCAGAGCCCTGATACAGTGGTAAGAAAAACTGAGTGAACTTTAACAAAAGACTCTTTAATGGCTCATCGAGATTAGCAAAGCTCATTTCCACCCACATCTCAGCTTTATTGTAAAACCCTCTCACAGCTAGAATTTTGTCTTTAGTCAACAGCATGTAATCTGCATTCATTTGTTTGTGAAGTGACTGTGCAGTCGACACATACTAGGCATGATTCTTGGCCCTACAGCTGTTATCAAAGTGAGACAGCAAAGTAGACATGCACATTTACAGGAACTGTTACAAAGCTAATTAGAGATAAAAATGTGTAATTCATCAACGATTATGAAATTTGAAACCCCAAGATAAATCAAAATTATTCCATTTTTCAAGTCAGCTTTGTGGTTAATGGGTCAAGCTCCGTTTTACTGAGCCGGTTTTACCGGTTTACTCTTGCTTAAAAAGAAAATATAGACAAATATTCTCAGACCATTAAGCATATGAGATCTTAAGCCACTACACTCTACATGAAAAAGTTGCTTATAATTACTGATAAATATTTTTTGTTTGTTTTACAGTCTGTGCCAAGTAGAATTTATAACTCATTGCGATTTACAATCAACAAATAAATAAATGATCTATGAAGCCATTTTCAATCTCTTTTATTTCTTTGATTTTTGATGCAGTAAGCTGTTAATGGACTGAAGAATTAATTTCAGGACATGATTATTTCAGTTTAAGCTCCAGTGTATGTGTGTAACTTTGTAGCAGTCTGCAGCAGGAACAGTTTTACATGTATATAGTAAAAGGAGTGCTCTTTGGTCAGAAAATAGTATATTTTAACAGCAGTTTTCACTTACTCCTTTTCCAGCATCACTGTCTTTATGCTTGGAGCATCCCACACCAATTTGTTGTTCAAAGTTAATCTTTATTTTGCTTCTTCCCTGGCTGCCATATCTTATGCAAATCCAAAAATGCAAATGCTCCGGAAAGCACAGAAACAGGTGTGTCAAAGCAGGGACAGAATTGGGTCAGAATGCGCTTACACAGGTGTCCTGCATGCAAGTCAAATTGATGTACAACACAGCATCTAGAGGTTATTAAGGCTGAATATTCTAATCCTTATCAGATTGATGGGAAGGACCACCAACCACAAGTTGGTCAAGGCTTTATATAAAATAAATTTGCAGAAACTAGTGTTGATGATTACATTTTTAAATGATTGCCAGTATGCTATTCTCTGATGCAGTTTATCAACCTGAGCTATTTAACAATTAACTAAAATTATTAGATAAGAGAAACTGAAGATCTTTTCTGTAGCTCTGTCCACCTCCACAGTAAAATGTTAAAGGTTGTCAAGACATTGTAGGTAGTGTATTCTGTTCTCTAAGACAAACGTTTAACCATAAAGAACTGATTTTTTTAACAGTCTCTCCCGAAGGAAACGCTGTTTCTCTGAGTCAAGAATTAAGCCACATTGTAACCACAGGAGGTTGTCATCATGTGATCTGCATTCAGAGCAGTGGCATGCAAAATTGAAATTCAAATCCCATTTTCGAACACTTTAGGAATAGGAAACAGATTGCAGGTGTTACAAGTGTACAGGTCCTTACCACTTTTTGAGATAACAAGCTTCCTCTGGATTGTTTTTATTTAGCATAAAGAAAGAGAAAATATTGCTTTTAGCATTTTAGGTCAAGCACATAAAGCAGTTTCTCCACATCTTCCTGCAGACAGCTGTCCCACTGGTCTTAGAGAAATCCATTTGGCAGAAATGCACTGAGATCCGAGCCAAAAAGACGAGGAAAAACAAATGGCTGGTTGACTTCCCTCCATGACCGTAGTCTGGAAGGGCACCTCAGATGATGATCCCATGCTTGAATGAGCCCATTACCTAATGAGAGAATGTAGTCGTTAAAGTGATCCAGTTGTTGTTGAATGTTTCATGACGTGAATAGAAAAATAAAATGCACTCTAAGGCTAGAACTTGCATTTTTATTTCCACATGTCATAGTTACAAAGCTCAGATAACTTATATGTCTAAACATTAGCAAATATCTTAACAAATATATTGATCAGATGCACTTTCCTGTTTCCATAACAGGTCTAACCTGTACCAGATCATATAGAGAGCAGGCACACCCTAACATTGTCACCTTTTACAATGTGACTGCAAATGTTCTAAAGCCAGAGCCCAGCCACAATCTGAATAAACAGTTAATGTCAACAATGACACACCTACAAACAAAACCAACCTTCTGCTGCACTAACTTGAATTTCAAAGCAGGATATCCTTTAGGAAGCAATAAAAGTCTTATACCACCCATGCAGATATAAAACAGTAAACTACACCCAATAAAATCCATAACAAATATAATTTATTCCACATGGTAAAATTTGAGGTATAGTTAAGTGCAAAAAAAATATGTCCAGTGCTGTTACAACTCAATGTTGACGCACAAAACCCCTTTTTTTCATTATACGAGTGTTTTGTGCTCAAAAACGGTTGTATTGCTGTCCCTTTCAGAGCTCACTATCATAAATTTAGTACATGGATATGATCAAAGCTGTTCATCAATTTTATTCTCCAGATGTCCTAGTAAGGTGCATAAAATCTGAATAAATCAGAGCAGTTTAATAACTGATGTGCCTATAGTTAAGGAAGCTGAATTTTAAAAAGAAAACGCCATGATGCACAAGAAAAAGCTCAGTTTTCCTATGATTTATGTCTTGTGAATGTATATAATCTGTCTTTTGATCTAAAGTCAAGAATGGCTCATCCATTCTGATTTAGTGGTGTTGGATTTTATCTATATTTTGGGGGCAATTTTTCTAATCTATGCTATTAACACTTCATATTACTTTTAAATTATTAGCATAAGTGATACTGAAAATCTCTTTACCAGGACTATATGAGTGCACTGAATAAAGTGGGATTTTTTGAAGTTCTAAAATGTTTTAATTCCAATATCTTTTTTTCTGTGTTAATTGGCCACCACAGTGCTTTTTCAAGACATTATATGCCGTCACTTTGACATATAAAGTATATGCATTGCTTTAAAAAGCCGGATTATCTGCTGTTCCTGCTGCATAGCTGTAGTCGATCAGTGCACATGAACTCAGTGAAGTGCTCAGTGAGGTTGTTTCTGATAACTTTAAAATGAATCTGGCAGAGCATATTATTATCGGCTAAAAGAATATCTTAGATAAGCAGAAACTAACAGGTTTTCAAAGTTTTAGCTAAATGACGGAAAATGGTTGAACCGCAAAGAGTTCTAAATTGTCTGAAATAAAAGTCTTTGTAATGTAAATGTGACTTTGTGGCAGGTGAAATGAGTCACAAATTATCTGAGCCACACATTTTCTGTGGGATTGACATCTGGGCTTTGGGATTGCTAGTCAAAAGTTTTTCTTTTATTGTCTCTTGAATCCTGGAATCCTGGGTCCCTTTGAATCCTGGATAGGAAAGATGTCTGACATAAGCCTGTATGCAGGTAATGCCTTTCTATATTGATCCCTGAATGAGGGAACAACTGCAACTACTGTCTCTAATACTTTGTTACTATATTTGACTTAGAGTCCTGGTCCATCTCGAAGACACATTTTTGCGAAAGTTTAATTTTCTCGAAATGTTACTTCAATGCTTATACATGTTTTTTTTCTCTTGAGAATAATATCTGTTTTGTGACGTGTAGCTAAACAGGAGGCTACAATTTTAGTGGCTGAGATGCTGTTCTTAGATTGAAATATTATCTAATATTTCTCTAAATGTAACAACGATCAAATTTAGCAATTAAAATTCAAATTGCCCATCACTCTATGGTCTTATTGGGGACTAAGAACACATTCTTAAACAGGTTTGACTTTAAATTTCTATTTTTTACTCTTAAAATAACACTTTAAGAGTGAAATTTAACACCAATCTGAGTGCATTTGGTCCACCTCTAAATCTGTGTTAAATGTATTAATAATATTTGGATTTGTTTATCTCACATTGGAGGAAATTTACCTTTGCATTTAACCCATCCCCTTGGGGAGCAGTGGGCTGCCACTGCCATTGACTAAAGGAGTCAATGAACTTTGACGCTGCATATTTAACTTTGTGGAATTTACTGTGTACAGTTTTTTTTTTCATAACAAATTAATCTTTATGTATTTAAATACTATCAACAGAACCTGACAGGAATCAATTTCTTATTTATTTATTTTTTCTTTCTTCCTTTTTTGCAGATGAGGCCACTCGCATAGAAAAGTGTGGACTGACGTGGCTTGCACTTGTTCTTTCAGTCACAGCAGGACTGACGTGAAACTGCTTTCCCAAGACCCTTTCGCCACACATCACAACACACATTTTGCCCATACAGCACCCAATATTCAAATATGCTTACAGAAAAACACACATACAGTTCTGACACTTTCCAGAACCCTGCAAGCCTACTCAAGTCATCAACAGACAACTCTTTTCATCTGTCAAACAAGAAACAGTGCCACCACATGAAGGTGCTTCACTGTTTTTTACAAATTATATTCAAGATAATACAAAAAGAACAAAGTAAAGAACTCTACAGTTACCGCGTCCTATATAGTTCCATCCTATTACCTTTTTTTCTGTTTCTTGTCCCCCGTCTGCCTGTTGATAAAATAAAATCTGATGATTCAAAATGGAGACGAAAAAAAATTATTTTTCTTTCTTTTTTTTTTTCTTTTTTCTTTGATAAATAACAATATTATTGGTGTTTAGTGAAATGTGGACAAATGGAACTGGCATTGACTGACTGCACTATCCTATCAACCAATCCCATCTATTACATTTCCTGGAATGGACCCGATTAGCAACAAACTGATAAGTCATGGGAGAACAGACCTCCAGATGTCCAACAAAGCTATATATATATATATATATATATATATATATATATATATATATATATATATATATATATATATATATATATATATATATATATATATATTTCTGATGGCTTGGAATGTACAAGAAGATTTCAATACATTGACAGAACCGGAGAAATCTCTTTTTTGAGTGTATTTTGTGTACTACAGTGTAAATACTAAAAATAATTAAAGAAGTTATATGGTTGATGTTGAGGAATGGGTGCTGAGGTTGTTGGAGTATGCTTCTCCAGCTTTGTTTGTACTTCATTGAACTTTCAGATACAATTCTTGATTGAGAGGAAAGAAAATACATCCTTTCTGTTTGTCACTTTGGCTTTTTATATGAATAATCTGTTCTCCATGGACAGAGGTAAAAAAATAACAAAAAAGTCCATATGTCTGTTTTCTGGGGTTGTGGTGCATGTGACTTTTCAAGATTCGTTCTCCTTTTCATGTGTTGCAAGTGACAGCACTGCAGCTCTTTGTCACTAGCCTGTAACCCAGCTATTTACTTGTGACCTACATTGTGTACAATGCGTAACTCTTCCCCAGACAGTACCAATCAAGTAGGATCATTTTAGCCGCCGTTCCAGGGAGGAGCTCACAAGAGGCAGCTTGTGTAAACAGGGTTGTTGCATTTGTTTCATTTCACCTGTATTAAAATGGAGAGATGATAAACTCACAAGCCTTGACTTTACTTACAACTGAGCAAGTGTTAGACATGTTTCTGAGAGATATATTATGTGAAACATTGCATATTCTGGAAAGGTTACTGGAATTCAGGATGATCAGTTTCAGTTTATCCCAGCAAATTAGAACATGCAAATTGAGGTGTTTTATCTATTGCTTATATAGAAAAGCATCTTATTTTAAAATGGACCTTTTGTTTTATTCTATAATATCCTCACATTTTCTTAAGTCTTTGCTAAGAAATTGAGGGTGGGGTGGGGTGGGGGGCATTGGGGTAAATTTAGTTGAATATAAAGTACAGCTATTGGATATAGCTGCATTCCGATTTTATTTCTACATTACACAAACATTAAAACATAGAGTTTCAAGACACATTTTCCTGTTTTATACTATTGAGGGTGTGAAAGGACACTAATTCTGGTCTATCCACTGTGAAGAATTATTACATTGTAATTTTGTTCAGTATGCAATTTTCTGCCTTTTCCTTTGCATTTATCACTAACTTCATATTGAAGGTGGGGAAATGGCTCAATTTATGAATGCATTAGAATATGCAAATTGTCTTGACCTGACTTGATCATCTTGGCAGAAGAAGCACATTATAACTGTCTATCTGTGTGTGTATGAGGATTGTACAGTTGTTGTCAGCAATTATTTTTAAAATTTTCCTTTTTCTCTCCTCTTCATGAACTTAGACCAAACAGGCAATAAATGTGACATTTTTGAACAAAATTACTTTTCTGCCACTTAGAGAGAAGGTTGTTCTATTTAATCCCATATTTGCTGTTTCCTAGTAGAGTTATGGACAGTTGGAAACTGTGTGTATAATCTGAGCCTGAGGGCTTCTGTAATTTTTTTTAATTTAACTGGTTTGTCAGAAAAGTCCTACCAAAACAACGCTTAGCTCAATGGTTAACTGGGACATCATATCTGTTTCAAGCTATGCTGACAAGTGTAGCAATTGCAGGAAAAAGCTGGAAGATCCAATTAAAATGTATCTTTTAATTTATATTCTCATGTTGTCATCTTCGGAACAACTATAACAGATGGTGTAAGTGAGAAGTCCAAGTCTCTCAGATACAAAATCCTGTTGATGACAATCACATTCTTGCTTTATTTCTGCTGGTAGCTATAGTGAGAATAAAAAGCTGCCTTCTTGGACTATATGTTAATTTTTCTGACATACATGCGTGCAGACTTCATTTTCCTTTTTTTGTCAGCAGGCTTGGCTATCAGATGATCATAACACACACACAGCTGACAGGACACCTGACACACCCTCTGAATGAATCCCTTATAGCGATCTTTATAATTCTCAACAGAGAGCTGGTAAAATAAACACTGTTTTGTTGTGTTTTTATTTCTGATTGTAGGCTTGCTCTTGTATGTTATCAAAAACCACAGATGACACACTTTCAAAGTGGTGAGTGACATGTTTCATGTATGAAAGAAATTCATGTTTGCATCAAGTGGAAAAGCACCGGCAGCTTTCACAATGGAAATTCGTTCAATGGTGTTTCTATTCTTATGGCTAACTGACAGATGTTTTTAAATTGCTGACCAAGTTACATTTACCTTTTTGCAGCCCTCCCATCTCTCTTTATGTTCCCTTTTCTGAGATAGTAGTTTAAGTATCTTTGCAGGCACAGGGAGGAACCTTTACTCTCTGTCATAGCTATGCAAACAGACATATCCTGGTTATTAAGCATTTGCTAAATGCAACCTATCATAACTCTCCACCCCTTATTCAAATAGGCTTTGTTCCAGCAGCTCTAAACACAGTAGGAGGTTAGAGTACTAGCCATATATTTTATGTATTTAACAATTTTTCAAAGCAAATTATTTCATTAACCACTCAATGGTATTTGAACACCCAAAGGGTTTAATCCAGCACTTCAAAAGACAATTTTAAATTTGTTAAAGATCAACATTTTAAGGTGACACTTGGGTGGTTTTAAGAAGAACAAGAGTGTGTTAAACAAAATAAACATTTGCCCATTGGAATTTGGATACTCCGTGGATTGGTATAGAAAGTACATCTGACTAGTAAGAGGTGGTGCATAAAAACGCTCCGCCTCTGCAAAGCAAGGGATGCAAATTGCTCCTCTGTAGCTATCATTTTACACTAGATCCTTTGGGCAGAGGTTTAGTCATTGGATCACAACAGCTCTTTTACGATGGAAACCAGACAGCTTCAGTCAGCAGGGGCATTTAGACTATAACTATTCAAGAGGCTTAGTCAGCCGAGCTTTGCTCATATAGCTCTTCAGCTATGCCTATTGAAGACCTGCGTGACCAGTTTGACATGCAGCTGCTGCTGAAACTTAGTTTCTCTGCAGCTGCTGTGTTATTGGTTTCTTGGGCCTACAGATTCTACAGATCCAAAGACGTGAAAGAAACCACGCCCTGTGGTGGGGAAAACACAGAGATACAGAATACTGCCAGCCATGAATACAAGAGGACACGACAGAAGTTGTGTTTTCAAGACAAGGATGATGAGAGGAAGCATGACTCAGCCACTGATGACTTGAAATCTGACAGCACCCACGGAATACACGTTAAATTTCCATTACAACAAGTTGATAAGAGCAAGGAGGTATGTAGCCCATCAAATATTGATCAAAATAAATGCATGGACAAGGAAATGCTTCAGAAGGATCTGCCAACTCTTTCCAGTTCTAATATTGCAATTGAATCTGCTTTGGAGATCCATGATCCAACAGATGATAGAATGACAGCTATCACTGGACGTCGCTCCCCTTGCTTTTGGACAAAGCATGAAGGTGGTGTGGGTGTTGGCAGAGAATTAAGGCAGGACTTAGAGCACCAGGGGGTCTACTCCAGTTTCCTCTCTAAGGCAAAGATCAAGGTAGAAGATGCCACAGTAGTGCTGGATGGATCAGGACACAAGATTGTAAACGGGAAAATATACGACTATTACGTTGAGTCTAAATCTCATTCAGTTAAAGATTCAAAACCTTTGCTTGCCCATTATGAGAGGAACACTGTTACAAACAGGACCTATAGAAAAGAAAACATAAGCTTCAGTGATTCTCCTTCATCTGGAAGTCCTATCATTATGCGTGATCTCGTTCTTCCATCAAGCTCTGCTGCAGAGGACTTTTCAGAAGGAAGCCTGAGGCACCCCGAAAGGCCTTCAGGCCTATACAAGGAAAGCTATGAGTCTGCAGAACGACAGTTGGCCACTTCCTTTCCATTTCAGGTTTCAAGAAACTCACCCCCAGTGACTACCTCTGGGACCCCATCAGGCAATGACACTGTGTTTCAACAAACCGCAAAAGATAAAAAAGAGGTTGATTTCGAGAATATAACAAGTGCTTCTTTCATGCAACTTCCAGCAGAAATCTTCCTTGGCACAGATCTGGAAGTTCTAAAAAGTAAACTTGATCTTGGTAACTGTTTAGAGATACTCCATCAAGCCAAGAAAACTGGCCACAAATCTGTTCATCAGGCTGCCCTGGAGGTCATGTCAGACAACTACTTACAGGTGCTCAGGGACCCCACCCTTTATGGACAGCTAATGGCTGATGAGCGGGAAAGAATTAGGAGGCAGAGAATGAGAGGGCGAAGATTTGTCATAGTTGCAGATATGGTCCCTCAAGACTGGCTGAGAAATACAGCAGGACAGACTGTAAAATCAGAGCTGAGGAGCATGTCTAGTGCAATGTACTATTATGATGACTACAAAGACGCCTGGCATTCTCTCTGTCTTATCCCACAGGAGGTCATCTCTAAAGCCTGTGCTATGTGCACAATGGATAACTACTTATTTGTGGCAGTAGGTTGTCAAGGCAGTGACAGAGAAATGATACCCTCAAAGCGAGTGTTTTGCTACAATCCTTTGACATCTATTTGGAAAGAGATCAGTCCTATGAATGAAGCCAGGCCCCGCTGCAAACTGGCAGCACTGGAGGGCTACATCTACGCCATTGGAGGGGAATGTCTCTCCTCTGTGGAGCGCTATGACCCCCGACAGGACAGATGGACATTTGTGGCCCCACTACCTAATGATACATTTGCTGTTGCACATCATGTCACTGTGTGCAGTGGAGAGCTCTTTGTTTCAGGGGGTACTCTTAGATATATGCTACTTCGCTACAACCCCCAGACAAACACCTGGAGGCCAAGTCTTATAGTGGGCAACAAAGACAAATCTATAGATATGGTTGCTGTGGGAAAATTTCTCTATCGATTTGAAGTTAACCCACTGCTGGGAGTCAGTGTGTACCGCTACCATACAGTTGCACGACTTTGGTATGAGTGCAGCTCAAAGCGACTGCTTCATTGCCCGGCCTTCCAGTGTATCGCAATGGATGGAACAGTTTACTGCCTCAGCCGACACTTCACCATGAAATTCGAGGCTGATGAGATCTCTCCTGCTTTTGCAGATGAGGAGATGAGTGTCCTCTCTAAAGCCAAGGGTTTACTGTTCCCCTTTGTCCTTTCACTACCTGATATGAATCCTCGACAAACAAGTGTATAAAAAGGTTTTACATGTTTTTATTTTTCATAAGATGTTATAGCAGCTAAATACTTCTATAAGAGCATGTTTGAAACATGGGTAATAACTGGCAGAGGGAATTTTAGTTTCTTGCAACTAATTACAAATCTGTAAACCTTGCATTTCCATTTATATGAAATTATATTTTAATACCATCGTCATAAAGCCACAGTGCAAATGTTTCATAAACCACATTTTTTTTGGACTGGGTATTAAACAAAGATATGTGTTTTTTATGTCCTGTGCTTGGCAGTAGATTAAAAAGATTAGACTTTTAATGGTAGTCAGATTACTGATTGTTTAGATTTACACAGGACTTGCTGCCATGTTAATTGTTTGCTGCTTTGATTTGCCACTCCTTTCTCCCATTCTGGTAGTTTAATGCCATCCCAGATGCTTAACCTCTTTACTGAAAAAAGTAATTCATGAAAACATTCTAGTGTAAATTAGTTATCTAATTTTGAAGACTCATAGTTTATGCAATAAACTGATAATTTACCTCTGTGCTCATCTGTGTGAGCCATGGGTTTATCTTATGCATTACTCTGGACACAATGCAATTATCTAAAGTTGCTCTTTAAAGAAATGACAGAGTGTAAATGGGTATGCCATGCAAATAAATTGTTAGCTTGCAAAACATTTTTTCACATTTTAATCTGTGACATTTAGCATTTTGCAGGTATTTGTCATTGCTGTAACAATCCTTTCGTTAAAAATAATCTGTTGGCTCAATGAGTAGAATAATTTTCTTAGTCAGAAATCTTTCCCTTGTAATCTATTTTTAATGAACATCAAATACAAATACAAAAGTATGTTTTACTACTTATGAGTCCATAGATAATACTTACCACCAGAGGTCGATAGTAACCAGTTACATTTACTCGGTTATATTTACTTAAGTAACCTTATGAAAAAAATCTATTTTACGAACTATTTTACTTCATAATATGTTTTACTTTAATTTGAGTTATATAAGTTATATATCATAAATTATCGCTCCTCTTACTTGAAAGAAATGTTAGCCTACTCCATCGACCATGACTAACTTCACTGAATAACAAACAAGTTTGTTTCCAACAAAAGTGCTTTAAAAAAAAGACATATACTTCCTATTTATGTCAAAATGAGAGTTCCTTTTTAATACATATGCTTACTATATATCTGGTAAACCCGTTATGACATTTGGAGGTTTAGCCAATAATAATAAATAAAACAATATTTTCCCTTGGGATATTTTACACTTTTTAACATGTATATATTTTAAACTGTAAGAAGTTATTTTTTTCTTATGTTAAAAAGAAATTTTATTTGAAAAAGTGTTTCTTCTGCTTGGATTTGTTTGAAATACATTACATGTGTTTGTTTTAATGATTTCATGATACTCTTTCAAATACCAGAGATTACAGATAACTACATTTAATCTGTCTTATTACATCATTTAAAACAGTAAATCATTATGATGAGTTACTAAGAATATGAGTAGGCTTTTTAGAAAATGGTTTTCTAAAATGGCTCGGATGGCTTCTTTCTACTCTTACTTGAGGAAAAATACAATAAGGAGTTGTTCCTCCAACTTGATTACAATTTGGGGGTTCTCTGCCACCTCTGATTACCACCAAGAATGCCGTTTTTGTATTCTTGGTTTGCTTGTTTTTTGCCTTCAAACTGGAGAAAAAAACATAAATATTATCAAAACACAAAAATCTAACACAAGAATCTAAACATCATTAATATAAACAAAAAATATTTTCGAAGGAATTTTCTCACACTACAAACTGAAGTTATATACCTGAATGATAGAGGGTGATATGCTGCTATAGCACCATCATGTGGTTTAGAAAGTTAACAAGCATGTACTTTGCTTGACTAGTTTTGTAGGTTTACCATAACACATGCACACATGGGACATAAGAACATTTGTGCAGTAGAGTGACTAAACAATTACATGCCTACACAAGGAGGTAGCAGGAAGTTAAAAAGGGTTGTATACACATTAACCATAACGTAAAAGCATCTGATCCTTATAAAACAATGTCATTTTTTTTATGGAACACATAATTAGAAATATGAGTATTAATTTCAGTTACTCTCTTATGAAGATGGTGAAGAGTGGAAGTGAAATATAATCCGGTATGGAAGTCCCTCAATAACAATATACAGAAATATTGTATGCACAAAGCCTCATGGGATTGAGATATGCAGGGTAGGATTGCTTCTTTTTCAATACTCCTCAAGAGGATTCCCATGTGACACCAGCAAATTGCTCTAACTAGCCTCTAAGTGCCTTTTAGTACTGATGATTTAACAGATTTTTCATGTCTGCTGAGTCTTAGCTGAAACTTGCTTTGACAAGGAGTTTTATCACAGGCCTTTATCTTAGCCATCAATATTATGCAAAACTCTACAATTTATAGAAGAAAACCCTGACTCACAGAGTTGTGACAGCTATTCAATTGATGTTAATGCCCTGAATGAGCAGTTAAGGGCTGACCTCAGCTCTCAGCAGGGCAGGTCTTCTCTCAAAGACGTCTGCATTAAAGTCCCACCGGGGTCTGCGGTCTACATGGATGGTGCTGTTAGCTATTGTTGGCTTCCGAGTGAACTATGTCAGAAGGAATAAACACACACAGACAGCAAAGAGCAATGAGGGAAGAGGGATATATATAGAGGCTAGAGAAATGAGCCCAGCTCTAAGATCAGCAAAGATCACATTTCACTATTGATTCACAGTGTTGCACCGTATTTTTAAAGTAATTTCTCCTCTGAAATTCTAAAACAGCAGCCGATCGCTAAACCTCTTCTTGATGCAATCAGTCTTTTATTTGAGCCCTTCCTAGTAGGAGACTAAGATGATGTTAGATGAACCAAGCTTCCTGAATAACCTCGCAATATATTGTAATACTGCTAACTGAGGTTCTAAATAATACAAAAACAATCAGGGCATAGTAGTATGATTTAGTTTCAAAAGAAGCTGATTAGTCAGTCTCTTCATTTTGATGGTATAAATTGAGTTCAGATAATAAAGTAAAAATTCTTGGTGTTATATGTGATCATGACCTGTCATTTATGTATATCAAAGAGGTTTCTAGAATTTCCTTCTTTCATCTGTGGAATATTAAAATCATTAGAAATATCCTGTCCAGGGGTGATGCTGAGAAACTAGTCGATGCATTTGTTACTTCAAGGCTGGACTATTGTAATTCTTTACTATCAGGAAGTCCACAAACTGCAGTTAAAAGCCTCCAACTAAACCAAAATTCTGCAGCCATCAACACCTTTGTTTTTTAGATTGGCCTGTTTTCCAGTGTAGTCCTGTTTCTCTGACTGTGACTGGCTGGATGTGCTCTCTTCATCCTCTGACATGGGAGCTGGCACGGGGCTTGTCTTCCTGGCTGTGTGTTTCCTGGACGGGGCCGCCTTTTACAGCTGCTTTTTGTATCTCTGGTTCCGTCTCCTTGAACCCCAGTCGGCCTCTGCAGATGGCCGCTCACACTGAGCCTGGTTCTGCTGGAGGTTTCTTCCTGTTAAAAGGGAGTTTTCCCTCTCCACTGTCGCTACAAGCATGCTTAGTGTGAGGGATTGCTGAAGAGTCAATGAGTCGATGCAATCAACTGGTTTTCCTTAGATAGAAAACTTTGAATCAATCTGACTGTATGATCTGGTGAACTGTAAAGTGCCTTGAGATGACATGTGTGGCAAATTAGCGCTATATAAATAACTTTATAAATAAATTGAATTGAAAATAGATAATCAGTATTTTCAGATAAAAGACAATTATATTTAGATAAACCTGCACTTTCAAATTACTGCAATCAATAGGTCAAGTGGTCAATAGTTGCATTGACTTACCTTATCACACTTTCTGTTTCTATACCTCTCCCCCCCTTCCCCTCTGGTTCGTGTCCATTTATACCTTTTAATAGAGAATAGTGAGAGAATTCATCTTTTTCATCATTACAATGTCAAGTACAAGCAAAGAAATTCCCTCTTTGAATAGAACCCATCCCTGTGGGGAGCAGCAGGCTGCCAATTGAGGCACCTGGGGAGTAGTGTGGGGTTAAGGGTTTTGCTAAGGAACCCAGATTGCAGGCTGTGGAGATTTTACCTGGTACTTGACACCTTCTCAGAGCACAAGTGCACTGCTCTAACCACAAGGCCAACACTAAAAATCAAACATAATACAATTCTTTACCCGATGTCAAATATTTTTAGACAGGTAAATCTGATGACTCTCCTTTGCAAGGCTGCTAAATCAAAAAGATAACATGAAGATTTATTCGCGTGATCCCTTAGTAGAGGAATAAAGCTAAAGCTTTGTTGCTATGGATACAGCAAACACTAAAAATAAGGCAAGCTGTGTTTACTGTTGGCAGAGGGAGATGTCTTACATCTTAAAAAGAAAGGCATACATACCTTTGGGTTGAGGCATTATGTTTACCTTTTTGTAGTAATACTTTATTTATTGATATAATTGCCACCATGCTGGATATTCTTCAGGGCAAATTCTATGATGGCCAATGTTGGATTAAAGCAGGTTTTCATGAACTCTTGAAGAAGATTGAATATAGAATTCATTTTATTTACTATCTACAAAAGAAAAACAAAGATTAGATTCCTGTGATTTATTCGCTGGAAACCATTTATTGCATTTTATCAGATGACTAGAGGAGCAAAGAGTTTTAGAAAATAAGAGTCATTTGTCAGTAAAACAGCAAAGGCAAAATCTTTTAATACAAAACTAGCATTTTTCTCCTAAACATTTTCTAGGAGTGTGTGCTTATAAGAACCTTGTGCATGGCACTATGTTGGACAAAAAGAGACACTTTCCATAGCAAGACCTTAGCTCAGTGGGGCGATCCTTTTGAGCACTTCTCTGAAAACACACAAGCATCCAAGTTGTGCAGAAAATAGCCTGCCATCTAACCTCAAAACAATATGGCCACAGCAGGATTTCTCTGGTATAAAGGCAAGTTGAAATATGCCATCTGCAGGAACTAGGTAGATTAGGACCTGAGTGCAGGGGAATGGCAGATGTCTGCCCTATCTCCCTGCCAGCCTTTGGCACAGGATGGTTGCCAAGGAAGCCCCTGTGCTGTCTTTTCTGACTGCAGCTCTGTTAGAACCCAGCCTAAACTCTGTCACAGTCATAGACAGGAAATGACACGTTCCAGGCTTACAGCCATCCAGTAGTGTCCCTGTGGTCAGGGGCTAATTGTTAGCTAAGAGGTGTTAAAGGGAAGAGAGCAACACAGTTAGTTGTTGCATGTTTCAGTTATACCCAAGGTAAAATGGGAGACTGACCTGAAGTAACATCATAAAGTTGAACTCTGTTTGAATATCTTTGAATAAATGGTTTTCACCCTGATGGATAGATTTCATATCATTTTTTTACATAGTCAAGTTTAAGTACATTTGAACTATTTTTTTTTTTCGTTTGTTTTTTTTCATTTGAAATGTATGATATGGCTTGTTGTCTTGTGAAAAAAAGAAAAATTCAAAATTATTAAAAGATTAATAACATAATATGTATGATTGACTTATTCATTCATTGTATCATTTAACTTAAATTCATTTCTAAACAAAAATAGGTTGATTAAATCTTCAAAAAATATCAGATCTGTTGACATGTCATGTATTGCATTCTTTATGACTATTGACATTTAAAAGCAGTGGCTGTGTTCTAATCACTGAGAAAAGGGTTTGTATGGGAGGTGTTTTTCGTAAGTTTAAGCCTTTTTTTTTTCCTTCTATAAAAAAAAAAGTTTAAGCCGTTTTTAAAACACACTTAGGTATCATTTCCATCAGAACTGGAAATTTCTTTTTTTTTGGCAAAGTTAAAGTTCTCCAAGGCATTTTTTATGCTATAAATATATCTATCAATAATTTAATCATTTGACTTTGACTACGAACACAGACTTTTTCATGTAATACAACCTTTACATTTTGTTATCTTTGACCTACTCAATTTACTTAAAGCTTTGCAGGAAATATATCACTAGTCCTGCCATGTACAAGAACAATGAAGCTAGCTCATTGGGAGGGAAAGGTAAGTTTATTTATATGGGACATTTCATTGGTAAGACAATTCAACGTGTTGTACATGAGAAAAAAAGTGAGAGAAAAAATAGAGATGGATTAAAAAATTAGGATTACTTTAAAAACTAAGATAAAATAAGAAAGTATATAATGATTGATAATTTAAACGATTTTCAGTCAATTTCAACCCTTTCTATACCCTAACCATAGCAATAACCCTAGCCCTAAGCATTGCACCCAATATATACATATATACCTATTATTAACCTAAACTCAATTCACATCTTTGTCCCAAAATAGGAGGTTAGGACCAATAAAATATCATCAGTTTAGAAGAAATGGTTCTCACTTTGGTGGCAAAACTGAAAAAATGGTCCTCACTACAATGCCAAATCAGAAACACACATACACATGCCCAGAAATGTAACTATTGATGTAGCTGACCAGATGACCTATGCTAAAACAATATTGTATCCAGTATTGACATCAGGGGAAGCACAGACTTACAACAAAAGAGAGATATGGTAAAAACAAACAAGAAAAAAGTATTCTTGACTAGTAAAGTCAAACTGAAGGTTATTCTGTCTGAGAGAGTGTGTTTAGTATGACAACATCAAAGAAGGGAAATACACGACTTTGTGTCTCTGTGCAGCTCTGGTAGACGTGATTTCTTATCTGAAATTTCTCTCATCTTGGTTTTATCAGTCGTTGGAGGACAAAAGAAGGACAGCAACATGTAGCATAATAAAAGAGTTGGATTTTTTTAAACTCTTGTATCTAGTAAAAACATTCTTTTTTTTAATCAAAAACAATACCATTAAAGAAACACAATGAGCTCCAATCCTGCTGATCCACAATTGCCATGCCAACAAACAAACATGAGCTGTGCAGTTTACCACTCTTTGAAACCCCCCGAGGAATATCTGAATTCATCCGGTCAGAGTACACAAGGCCAATTACAAGAAAAATGAGGGCTGCTGCTGGAGGAGCAAAGCCAATTATTAAAATTGTTGAGCAAGTGTCCATGGTGTAGCTGGTCTGCTTTGCAGAGGGTAAGTCACAAGGGAACTTTTTCTTCATCTACCTGTTTACACTTTTTCCCTATCTATATCTCTGACAATATATTCTGATTTTGATTTTAAAACTGAACATCTCTGACAGCCTGATGCAAGGCAAAAAATTATTCTGCTATATATAATATATTGCAAGGCTGTTTTGTAACACTACATGCAGTTGTTCATATAAGTCCCAGCTTTCCAGGGTTAACTACTGCACAGTATTAGAGAACCCTATATAGAGCTGCATTCCAGTGGAAAGATTTTCACACATATTTGGAAAATTGCAGTTTGAGGCATTTCAGCACTTTTTTAATACTCTTGGTTCGAAGAGAAACTCGTTCATTTCAAAATCCTTTTGCTGCAGGGTGCCTTTTTATTGTTGGGTATGAGTGACAAGGAAAAAATCCTGAAACTTACTCATGAAGCCTGTTCGGAAATACTTATATCTGAACTTTCACCACAAATCTGTAGATGGCAGTGATAGCCTGGGTATAAATGGATGGGCTGCACCCTCTTATACATATATTTCTGTCTTGTGCTATATGTTTTTAGGGCTAAAGCCTCTTTCAGTGATATAGACAGAAATATATTATGCAATGAACTGTAATGGAAAAATGAATAACTTGAAAAAAACCTTTGATGGGAACATTTTATAAAGTGTATACATTTCTTTACATTCAAGAGGTTTTAAAATTAAGAACAGCATCTGGACAGAGGTTGTCCCAGAGTTTGCAGCAAACCCCCGAGAGTCCCTCTGCTTCCCCTAAGTAGAGCAGCCTAACACAAAGCAACCATTGTGAGGTTGCTCTTTAAAACCTTCACAGTTGCTGAAAAAGCATTCAGTTACTCTTGGTAAAAATCACAGAGGAAGTGCCAAGCATCACAGACTGGAGTTTTGTCTGAGACACATTACTCATACTCATATTTGAATAAATGTAGTCTTCATCATATATATATATATATATATATATATATATATATATATATATATATATATATGCATGAGCTAACTATGCAACTGCCTAGCTGACTATGTAAGATACATGGCTTAATAAAGAAAACAATTGTAATTTATGGGTAAATATCACAAAGGTGTGGTTTGTAGACTACTGTGAAAAGTATTTCATCCATCTCAAATGGTTGTTTTTTTTAATGATCAAAGATAGCTTAGAAATCAAACAAGCAATCCTAAATATACAAAAAATGCTATCCAAACTAATGAACTGTATGAAAATGTAATGTAATAAATGTGAACTAAATCTAAACAAATTCAAGAATAATTGAGAAACACTTGTTAATATGTGTTTGGAAAAACATTGAATTTAATAGAAATATGATTTCTGCTTATTTTTGTAAAATCCAAGTTTGAAGGAATTTGCTTTTTTAGGTCTGGACCTTGACCCCACCCCCTTTCATAAATAAGCTTTAATCTAAACAATTTTATAAGAGTTCTGGCTGTATATATTTGTGGTTAACTGTCCTGCTGAAATGTGGAGCTTGGCCCTTTGCAGCTTTTCACAGATTTTCTACCAAGATTGCACTGGATTAGGTACTTCAGATATTTTAGTTAATTTTGACCCTCGTCCATGTCACTGCTGAAAAAAGGCATCTCAAGATGATACTCCCATCAATATGAGTCATCACAGAAATTTTTTAAGGCTTTGCAAACCTAGTCCATTCAGTTTTTCATATCATTTTGGTCTCAGAGTGCCTCCTTTTGTCTCTCTCGTGGCCAATCTTCAAGTGAATCCAGATTTGTGAAAGTAATGACTAATAGATTTACAATCTATATATTGTTCTTCCTGAGCTGAAGATCTCCTGAGCTTCATCCCAAAATCATTGGTCCCCTTCAGCCTGTTTCAGTTTAGGGGGACACAGTCTTTTGTCTTTTTACAGTAAGACGTTAAGTAAGCAGACATGTATGGGTTTGCTTATTGTTTTTCAAGACACTGTTTGTCGAATAATATTATCTATCTATCTATGTATCTATGTATCTATCTATCTATCTATCTATCTATCTATCTGTCTGTCTGTCTGTCTGTCTGTCTGTCTGTCTGACTGCCTGCAAATCTTTATCGGAATTGTGTTTATTTTGCATTTAGCTACTTCAAATATTTGTTTACTTATTTGTTTTACTCAATTAATTAGGGGCAGCTGGTTGGTTTATGGCTTAATTATCAAACTATTTTTCGGGTCACTGTCTTAAACTCATTTCAGCTTATTTACACACCAGTATAGTGTTATTTGAGTTGTCCTGCTGCTTACATGAAACGTATTGCAACACTTCTATTCTCCTGTTTCTTATGCAATGAGGTTAAATTCAGGTCAGCAGGATTATGAAGTGAAATTTTCCCTAACCAGATTGAGCACCCACCTGGGACGCACCGGGGGTTACCATTGGAAGGAGGGTGTTGATCGCCGATTTAGAGACATAAAGGGGGTGGGGAGGAGGCAAATACGCAAGCAGTCAGGGCAAACGGGCACTAGAGCCAAATATTCATCCCCACTTAACATGTCAATCAGGATTAATACCCTTACAATCCGCCCCTCTAAGTTCATCCAGGTTTTTCCACTAGTGAAAATAGTTGGAAGAGGAAGAGGGGGTGATATATAAAGCAGGACAGGACAGGAACACAACAGCAAAGAGCGCGGCGGATTCAGTAGCGCACAACACACTGCGTCGCTTGGATGTCTTTTACGCGTCTGAGTCTCAACTCGATGGCTGCTGACAAGTAGAAATGACTGATTACCCAGACGTTTCAAGAGCCTGATGGGCTTCGAGGATGTCAAAGCGACCAAAACAAACGCACTTCTGGGTTTTATTCTTTAACATTTCCCCCGCGGATCTCTCATATAAAAACTTTCTCAAGCTGTAGATAAGAATATTGCAGAAGTCTCCAAATCAGCGCATTACTCCTCTGGTGTTTTTTTTGGGGGGGACACTTTCCGAGATGGAGCTGAAGATCGCATATCGCATGCTTCTCTTCCCGATCCAAATGTTTTATCACATAGTTCGGGCAAGTTTGCTGTCGCTGTTGCCAAGCAGCAAGAAGGACTTAAGCAAGGAGGTGGTATTGATTACCGGTGGAGGTCGAGGAATTGGGAGCCACCTGGCCAAGGAGTTTGCAAAGCAGGGAGCCAAAAAGGTAGAGTAAGATAACTTCTTTGTTATAGTTTGATTTTCTTTTGCAGAGAAACATATTGATTGTTTTTGCAAAGTGGATTCGGCGATGGCTTGTGCATAGAAGTTCTGTATTTTAACTAGTATTTTTAGACATTCCCTGCCAGCAGATCTCTGTAGCTTGCTACTTTCTTAATATTTAGAGGACTTTCTGCTGGAATATAAAAAACAAACAGCAAAGAAATACCGCCAGCATTTCTACAGAAGACACAGGGTTTCATACTGTTTTAATGAAATCCAGAATTGAATTGTTTTCATGCATTGCATGTTTTCATGGGGTTTCTTTTATAAAGTCATAGGAAAACTAAGATGAACCCTTAAAAAAAATAAGAAAAAAGTCATTTGTGATGCAGCTCTTGCTGATTAAAATATTGCTTTGTAAGCATTCTCAATTTGTCTCCTTTGAGTTATAAGTTAAGCATTCTGAATGAATTGAAAGAAGAGTCAAAATAGTCCAAGAGCAAGTCATAATGTCTTTTTGAATGTGAAAGTTTTACTTTATAGCACATTCCTCATTGCAAATATTGCTGAAGTAATCAGAATCCATTATATTCATGTCAGTGACCTGGCTTTGAAAGGACAGTTGGATATCAACTTTTTAAGGTCATGTTTATTGTAAATTAATATTTTTCAGTAGGAATTAACCCCATCCTCTCCATCTCAACCAAACCTCCTCACCTCCCTCAGCCTAAACAATGAACTCCTGCTTGGATCTGAAATGCTCTGCTGACTCTTTTATACTATTAGATTAGGCTAACTAACCATTGTCTGGCAATCTTGAAAAAGAACATTACACAGCCAAATGCTAGAGAAATAAGATTCTCCATTTAATAGAGTAGTGCTAATGGATAATTATTTTTTAATCAATTCAAAAATACAATATTACAAAGTTTTCTTAATTTCAGCTAAATGAAAGCTGACAGCTGCGATCTGCCTATGTGACATGGGCAGTGCTTCGTAAGTGCACCTATTATCCCATAGTTCATAATCTTGAAAAAAGTGCAGATTGTTCACTGAAGTAGCAATTGTGTCTTTTGGTGCCACATCCCTGAGAAGAAGAGAGGATGTCACATGCTTTTCAGCAGTGCATTGTTGATTTATTTTAAGGTGTGAGGCCCTAACACCTTTCGTAATGTGAATAACAATTGATCACTGGTTAAAGAGCAGTTAGGAGGAAATAGGAGGGTAATTATTGATACGGCTGACCTTGTAAACTTTGTGCTCTCTCATTGTGACTGGAACTTAGAATTCTGTAGTTTGCTTTTGCTTAGTTCCTTGTGAGTTAGGGGTTAATATTATTGTTAATGACAGAATTTATCAGCATAAAAGTGGTAGACAGGTCATCTTATGCTGCCTGTATGGAAATCCTTGCAAAGAAAACTATTAAACCATGAAGCAAAATAACATTTTTGCATAGAGTATGTGGACAAAAAAAAAGATTATCACATTTAAAGAATACAGTTTTATACAAATGTCCTCTTCTTAAACCAACAACTAAAGAAATGACCTGTCAACAATAAACAATAGACAGATCTCCACTTGGAAGGTGAACCAAAGCAATACACAGACAACAGGTTTGTGTGGTTGTGCTTGTGTTGTGCTTGAGGCGGGAAGCACACCACTCCCAGCTGGGTATTGCCCTGCAACTGACCTTGCTGTCTCTGCAGTAATTAGACAGCGGCAGGCGACTGCCTCCTGAACTCCTGCTGCCCCCTCTGTGTGCCGCCTCTCTGCTGGCTCATACAATGGGTGTGAAAAGGAGGGTTCATACCCACCCATACATTGAG